TCAAACCTGATACTAGATCAGATCATTGACTCAAATCTCAACAAACGTGCAAAAACTTGCCGCATAAACTGTGCTCGACATCATGAAATTAGATATAACAAAAACAAACATCAAATACAATAATTACTCAGGCTTACCATTCGAGATTCAGTTCCTGAAAGATATCAAGGAAGGCCATAGTTGCTTGAGACTTTTAAACCCTCTTACGCATTGAGCAAAGTGAAAGACGAAAACGATGCCATCCGCAATCGGATTACCCAATTTTGACAAGCGACGCATTTCTCAACCAAAAACCCAATAAACAAACCAGCCATGGATAACAGAAGACTCTTGATAGCAGCTGTATTTCATTTTGTACATCCAGCGGAAAAAGATTTAGACAGTTAAAAACATCACAAGTTGACACAAAACTCTGTCAGCTTTTGCTGTCAAAGTAAACAACTTTCATGATGCTGCATAAATTTTCCGCATGAACTTACCTGTCACATTTTGACCAATCAGAGTACAAAAATTGGACGTAGAGCGTGACCAACGCGTGACCATGGTAAGAAAAGGTCTTCCCCGCCTTTATTTTTAAAAAAGTGGCTGAATTTTTGCGTCCGAGGTCAGTTTGAAATCAAAATCTTGACAGTGCGGGGCCATAGTGACATAAACACAACATATTTCATATGAATCATTGGAAAAAATAGACTTGAGCCTGCGATCATTTGAAATTGGTAATTTGTCAGCGGATAACTTCAAAAAAGTACTGGACCTCGATGGGTCGACACTTGAGCCCGCGGTACGGTCAGGTGATACTGGCCAGCGGATATCCTGTTTTGACAGCTGTCAATTGATCACAATATTGATGTGCAATTAGTTTTCTATTGGGCTCCCAAACTAGCTAGAAAGTGTGAGAGTAAACATTGGTTCCCCTGTGGTGCGGACGGACGGTCGGGCGTACGGTCACGTGATTACCAAATTTTCTCGGATGGGTAGATTACCACATTTCCTTAGCTATGGGGCTCCGTCCACGCGCGCGCTTCGCGCGCGGGTGGAGCTCCGCTATAAACACTGTGTGTTACTGTTATCGCTTATATTTATTCGCCGGACAATTTGTACATATACATTGTTATCAGTGGGTATTCAACCGTCTTCGTAGTATCCGTCACTCATTTTACAAGTCATTAATCCTCCATAATTCAAATCAAATTAAAAGAATTGAATACAGTAACTGATCACTTTTACTGAATGTAATAGCAAAAGACTAGCAGATTCAGGAGTTCTTTGTTAGCGATTTTACAACAGAGGGTACCTTAAGTCAGTCCTGAACAGAGAGAACGGAGAAGAGCAGAAGTTACCTTCATCATATTACTTGACAAAACGGACAGATAAACAGAATGTCAGTCTCTACGTATTTCTTTCGCTCAGTTTCATCTATCCCGATACACTCCCCATGGTACCATTCATCACAAGAGTCACAGCAAATCATAAAACGACCATCTTCATAGCCTCTACAAACACAAAACAAATCAGAGTCATCAAGTTCAGCATCAATGTCAGTGTCGTTACCTTCCCACTCACAAAGTATTGTTTCTTCAGCTAAAACTTGTTGGTCCTCGCCATCTTCTGGTTCCTGTTCTTGTGGATTTTCCTGAGCAGCACTTAGTTCCTTAAAGAGTGTCATTGCAATGTGGGTTTCGACAAGAGCCACTTTATCCTTTTTGTTCAGTTTCATAGTCGTTAAGCTATGCTGCGTTATGTATTTGTCCAGCTCAAATACCCTCAAACCCTTAATTTGCCTTGTCTCATAGATTTGCCTCCAGTTGTAGTCTTTGTACGCCTTCTCTTTCCTCCCTGACTTCTTCTGCGATTCCTCCCTCTCTCTTTTCCGTTTTAGTAGATCAAGATGCTCCAGATGCAGAATGTACTCTCGCACCAGTCCTACAGCAACCACATACTTTCTGCTAAACTCCTCTATTTTCCTTTCGTCACTAGAAGATATCTCTTTACCATGATATAACTTACGGATTTGTGCTCGGGGTCTGTAATCATCAACCCCGCGTAATTTTCCATCTGTCTCACTGAGTGGCGTTTTGCTGGCATCCATGTAATGGTGTCCTTCCTTGTTGTAGTCAGGATATGGCCTTGGGACATAACCTGTTTGAGGTCCACTCCATTCCTTGCAAAATGCGCAGCATTCGTTGCCAGATTCTTCGCAGGCACTCTACAAAAACTCTATGTATAGTTCCCCTCTTTTACAGCGGCCTACAAAGAAACGGTCAATTTTTGAATAGTAGCCATGACCTGGAAGCTTCTCCTTTGCAGACTGCGCTTTGGTGGAAGCATAGGCACTCAAACGTTTTTTGTCCCAGTAAAACTGTTCATACTCGCGGAGTCACCGAACATGAAATGAAACCATGGGGAGCTGGTTCTCCATCCACTCTCTCCGCCAACTCTCCAGCAGCTTTCCAGGCATTCTTTTCCATCCGTTCTTTTTCTAGTTTCTCATAATCTTGTAGCGTCAGAGCTTCAATGTCTTCTTCGGACATGTTCTCGAATCGTTTATAATGTTCCCAGTTTAAGGTTTCCCCTGTAACCAGGGCATCACCTATTGAGGCATTGGTCCTCTCTTCTTCATTTTGTCCGCTATCCCCACGGGCCCTATACACGCGAACTAACTTATCCAGGTTGTGAATCAAAATTCTTTCAGCTATTCTGAATTGGACTTCATTGTTGTTACAGCCAACCCCGGGTCCAGCGTCGGTGAGTTCTATAACTCTTGGTTTCACGATGGGCAAACCAAAACTGGAAAATAGATTCAACAGTTCATGACATGCAGTTAATGTTTTACAGTACTCTTGCCACAGCAGAGAGCCCGTTGAAGGACTGTCCTTCACAGCTTCCATCTGAGTTAGCACTGGCGTGAGAAGAGACTGTATTTGAAGGCAACAGGTTTTCTCGTGGTCACTCATCATTACAACATCGCACTTCGCGACTGCTCTTTCCAAATACTCAAAAGTGTGAGTAACTTTTTTCATCTCATATTGTCGATAAACACAATCAAGCCTGTTAGTTACCAAAAGTACATCTTTCTGAGTTGAGTTGTGGACAAAATGAAATGTTCAATTTTGTCTTTAATCCTTGCACAAAAACCCCGAAATGCCATCGATAAATTAGATCCCTCCACTTCATAGAGGTCCGCATGGGTAGCACGCAGTTCCATGTCCTCAGATGCCCAGATAGGGCCTGAACTTCCTACAAAGGCTTTAGGCCTCATGAAAACAAAACTATCGTCCTCTGACATGGCAAAAATCTCTCTTTCATCGATCACTCTAGATTCCTTAGTAAAAATGCGGTGAGTAGATGGAGTGACATACACTTGTTCATTAACCCAGTCATATTTGGGGAGTTTGCGCGCAGCATTGTTATCTGCTGGCTGATAAATGCCCATTTTCTTTACATCTCTGAACCCAACAGACGTTCCGGGCCTCACATACGCTTTGTCATCAATACTTTTTATAAAAGAGTATTTTCTGTCTTGTTCTTTATAGCAGAAGTCAAACACCGCGTTCTTTACGTGTGCTCTTTGGTGGTGTGTTAGTTCCGTTTCTTTATCCTCAGTTTTTGGAGGTTTTTTACAGCAAAAGAGGGAGCGGCCCTTGTGGCGTTTTGCTTGAATGCTTGTTGCTCTCTTTGCTTTACCACGGGATAGCACTGTTGACAAGCTCCTCAATGGTTTCAGATTCTTTTCTTCTCTACGGCAGTTTACAATTTTTAACATGTCCCGAGCTTTTACCCTATGGTTCATGTACAAGACTGTGTCTTGCCGTCTTCCGTGAGCTGTAGACATTCCCTCTATGGATTGTAGAAGGAATTGTTCCTCGTCTTCTCCCATTTCCATTGGTCTCCCCGCTCCGAGTCTTCTGCGTTTGACCCTATTTTGCTCGAGCAAAGAATCGGCGACTCTTTTTGCTGCATACCTAACTTTGTTTACTGAAGACTTATCTTCTTTCCGAACAAGCCTATTCACTTCTTCTTTTCTATCTTCCAAATGACGTAAGGACTCTTCTAAATCTGACAGGCGCTTTAACGGCCAGGTTTCTCGTTTTTTCTCAAGAACGGTTTTCTTTTCCTCAATTTCAGCGTCAATTCTTTTCAGCCGATCCTTAAGTCTTAAGTTGACTATATCCTCGCCAGCAACAATAGACATTCTGCATTCCTCAGCAATTTCAATTACCTCTTTTATTTTTCTCCTTGCCAAGATTAACTGTTTCAGACCGCCTGTGGAGTAATGCGATAATCGCTCTTAATATACTTCTGTCATACTCTGTGTCCATGCTCTTCAAAAGTGCCGAGACTGTTTCTTGATCTAACCTCAGTTGATCCGCATTCTCAGGACCAAGCTAAAAATTCTTGTGTAAAGTGATTCAGGAACATTGAAACATCACATGAAGGGTTGTTTAGAACAACAAACCGCTCGAGTGTAACAGGATTCGTCACAATCACAACATTTAATCCCGTTTCTGGATGAAGTAAAATGTCCCTAAAAGCTTCCTCGTCTTTGTTAGTTTCAAAAAACGAACCGTAAATGTGAAATGCTTCTTTAAATAACATATAAAACTGGGAACCATGCAGCATTGTTTCCATGATCGCGCGAAGCCCGTGAGCGGATGCACGTGCATGACCTTTGCCATTGTTTATAATTTTTGTCTCCAGTTTCAGAAGTACATCCTCGTGGTTCAATCCTGGCAATGAGCTCCTTACAAACTTTCCTACCGTTGACTTCTCTCTTAAATCTGATCTTTTCTGGGCCCACGTTAACACCGGCGCTGCAAATTCGCTTTCCTTATTTAGAACTTCCATACTGTACGATCACAAAAGACCTTGCAATGGATTTTGGTTTATCGGCAACCGGCCAGAACAAGTGTTGTACGCAATTTCGCAATCGGGGGCACGTCGCGTCCTGAGGGGAGGGGAGTGGGGGTATGGGGGTTAGATTTTGGGCCTGTCACATAAACGGGGGGAGGGGTAATTTTTTAAAATACCCACTTCCGAGGAGGGGTAAATTTTTCATATGCCTGAATTGCTTGAGAATCACCGACCCCCCCTTAGGCATAAATAACGAACAGTCCCTTACGCCTATATAATAATTGTTTTTGTAACCTGAAGCTGTAGGTCGATGACGTGCTATGAAAGCTCAGCCACACATGTTTTTCGCATAACAGTTTTTTGAATAATTGAGAATGTTACATTTTAGCATCGTAAGCGGTACCACTTTACAATTTATACGCCAATAGGGTATAAAAAGCACAATCATTTTTGTAAGGGAGGTCCCCCCGGGTTTTGCTGTCGACTGTTCCCGGGTGGGGTCGGACAAACGACACTAAGAGCACAATTTAATGGGCTCTTTCTTCTCCGTCACCTTCCTTTAATATATCCGTTCAACAAAAATATATATATTTTATAAACTAAAGGAGAACCTTATACAGCTTGGATGGACAAAATTCATTTTCATCATTGCATAAATTGCACGATGACGTCCGTGTTTCTGCTGTCAGGGTATTCGACCTACTCAGCTCACTGACCCACAGCTAATCATGTATTTCCTCTTTATTTTAAGCCTGCTTAATAAGTGGAAACAAATCGATCTATATGTTATTCTCGTAACTTGCTGATCGATGACGTATCCGGAACAAATTATTTTGCGACAGGACTTTTTTAACAGTAACTAATACTTTATACAATAAAAGGGTAGTGTAGGAGCTGCTTGGAAGGTCTCTCTTAATTGAATGCAGGAAACAATGACAGGTCCCCAATAAAAGGTCACCCATACCTGTCGTGGATGTCTGAATGAGTATTAACATAANTTTTCATCATTGCATAAATTGCACGATGACGTCCGTGTTTCTGCTGTCAGGGTATTCGACCTACTCAGCTCACTGACCCACAGCTAATCATGTATTTCCTCTTTATTTTAAGCCTGCTTAATAAGTGGAAACAAATCGATCTATATGTTATTCTCGTAACTTGCTGATCGATGACGTATCCGGAACAAATTATTTTGCGACAGGACTTTTTTAACAGTAACTAATACTTTATACAATAAAAGGGTAGTGTAGGAGCTGCTTGGAAGGTCTCTCTTAATTGAATGCAGGAAACAATGACAGGTCCCCAATAAAAGGTCACCCATACCTGTCGTGGATGTCTGAATGAGTATTAACATAATATATCAAGAGCACAAGTGCAAAAAAGGCATAACACAATTAGGTTTAACCTCACAACGTCGGCAGACCAATGCGATCTTTTTAAGAATTTCTTGAAATATTGTATCTGAAGTGGTTTTTATATTTTGCTTCTTAAATCAACTTTTTTTTTTCTAGGGGGAGGGGGATGGGAAGAGGAAGTGAATTACAACAAGGATCGGTCCTGCTTTCCACGACACACTGTACAAGTCATGTTACTTATATGCATCACACTGCCGTCATTTGGTATAGTTAAATACATTATACTACTACATGAGAAATTTCTGCAATCTAATTGGCTTAGAACAGTGGTATTTCAGCTAATTTGAAATACCTACATGTGAATATTACAAACCTTTTGTGGGTAGTAGTATAAACAAATAATAGCATGATTTGTACGTGATATTTGGCATAAATTTCAAAATTTCTCACATTTCACTCGCCTAACAGCTTGTGAGATTACGTATAACATTTTCGAAATATCACTCCTGGTATTTATGCCAAATATCACTACAAATCATGCTATTACCTATACTAGTTAACCTTCAGTATAACTGATTTTTCAAGACCGTTTGGTTCTCCGAGGGTTGTGTTCTGCAGTGACAGGAGTTCTAGTGTGGCTTAAATTTATTTAGAATTTCGAAGCACAGTGTCTGAATTTTAAAACAACAACAACTAGCACCTGGCACTGAAATCACGATAGACTATTCAGTTGACACGCAAGTGGTTCCTTTTATTTGAATGACTCATTGACGTCAAATACCCCCAAAAGGGCATTACGAAATTCCAACTAGATGCACTGTAGATAGCGGTACTACATAAGTCACAAGTTCAACTCCAAAGAGTCTACGATAAATCATCATAAACACTGCAATCATTTTATTAAGGGAGGTCCCCCCGGGGTTTGCTTGCTTTCCTTCCCGGTTCAGCCCAATTTAAGGGGCTCTTTCTTCTTCGTCACCATTCTTTAATAAACCTCCCTTTAAATAGCACTACAGAAAGCCTTATACTGTTTGCACACCAAAATTCAGTGACACACTACTATGCGAAACAACTTCCGTCGTGCCTCATTGACGACACGCTTAATGGTGGTCAAGCTTGAAGAAACAGAAACACTTCTCTTACATTCTTTAACTTTTAGACGTCTTTTTCTTTTATTTAGTCTCAATCTTACCTCACGTCCATCGCACGTAGGATCATGCATAATTTGGGCTGAACATTTTGAGCTATTGCAGTAGGCCAACATTTGGTTGCATTTTACGTCTAGATAAAGCTTTTATGTTATCTTTCACTCAACCGTGGCTAAAACACTCAACTCATGGTTACAAAGAGCGATTATTTTGCTGCGAAAAAGGTTCCTAGTCGCCCTCGTTTTGAACGATTTTAAGATTTGAAATTGACCAAATGGTACATACCTCAGTTTCTACCCTAAAATGCGTTATTAGCACTCCACCACCCGGATTGTCAGTTTTTGTAGTCGTAAGAAATGTTTGTTTTTAGTAGGTACTCGATTTGTATATTTGATGTAAATGATGTACTTACTGTTTGCGATTTCACTCAGATTGCAGGCTGTTGCTGAGAGAGCTTCTGCTTGAACGACGAACGGAAATACTGTGAAAACGAAAGTGGATGCTTTACCATGCCTTGGCGTGACCACAAAAAATGGGCAGCTATTTTTTTGCACTTGTTGCTCACGCAATCTATGAATAACATCCCGGGGGGAGGTGGGGGGGGGGG